TCCTTTCCAATTTGGATGCCTTTTATTCCTTTTTCCCACCTAATTGTTCTGTCTGGGACTTCCAACACTATGTTGAATAAAAGTGGCAAGACTGCACATCCTTATTTTGTTCCTGAAACAGAAAGGAAAACCTTTCTGTTTTTTCACTTTTGAATGTGATATTAGCTGTGGGCTTGTCATATATGGCCTTTATTTAGTTGAAGTACATTCCCTCTATTCCCACTTTGTTGAAAGGTTTTATCAAAAATGGATGTTGTATTTTGTCAAATGTTTTTTTCTTCATCTGTTGATATGATAACATGATTTTTACCCTTCATGATCCTTTTAATGTATTGTTGAATTCAGTTTGCTAATATGTTGTTGAGGATTTTTGATTATGTTCAATGGGGATACCTCAAATTTTTTATAAGCATAGATCTGAAATGAATAGTTTTTTTTTTAATTTCAGCATTTATTACTCTGATTGCAGACTTTGGAGAGGATGCAATGGAAGCTAAATATGCTTATTTACTTAGTAAACTCTCTTTTTGAGGTATTGACCATGTTATGGCATACTCCATTTTTAGAATTTCCTATATTTTAAGATGATTGGTTGAATTCTGTCTAGGATGTTCAAAACAAAATGAAACATAGTAGGGGTGGCTCAGTTGGTTAAGCATCCAACTCTCAGTCTTGGCTCAGGCCTTGATCTCAGGGTCATTAGTTCAAGCCCCACGTTGGGCTCCACGCTGGGCATGGAGCCTAATTAAAAAAAAAAATGAAGCATGGTAATTTCACAACACCAAAGAAGCCATATTTACATTATAGAAGTATTTTGGAGGATTTAGTAATTCATAGCATCCTTGCCCTGTGGGAATTGGTAGCAAGGATAAAATAGTGGAAGCAGTTTCATTCTGGAAGCTTTCTCCTACTTTACTCCATTTGGAGTTGAGCTTCAGTGGTAATAACCATAAAGACATTTTTAAATCCAAAGTTATTTTGGTTAATTCAAAAGACTACTTTTATCCATTCACCATCTAATTCAATTATTCAATAGATTATGAACTCAAAATATCATTATCAAAAGCAGAAAGGGAAAGTTGTTAAGTATGTACGTCCTTTATATAGGTAATATAGCTAAGATACCAGTCTCCAAATACTTTGGCATTATGCAAAAACCTTCAGGGGTCAGTAAACTAGGTTTCTAGATTCTATCAGTAGCCAGTTGTGCAACCTCAGAAAAATAATTTCAGCTTTTTGGAACTATGCTTTTTCATTTCCAAAATAAGAATGTGGGGTTAGACTGGTTTTTTGGGTTTTTGTTGTTGTTTTGACCTGCTTCACCATCAGAGGACCTCATTTTAGCAGTTGTCTGGAGAATCCTAGTTGGGAACCTCCAATTAGTTTATGTGGTCAATTTAGGACAATTAGGTGTTTGGCTGGCATCACAGAATTCCCAAAGTTTCCTGCAGATTCTAGCATGCCTATCTTCCCTCATCATCATCAACAAAAATGAGTTATGGGGTACCTATTATTTTACCATATTGGACTAGGCAAGGGGATACCAAAAAGTTAAAAAGGCTCCTCTTCAATCTGACTGGGAAGATAGGCTACATGGATAAAATTAAGGAAACAGGGTGATGTGTACTGGGTGATAATGATAACCCCGGGGCCAGAGAGTTTAGGAAGGCCTTTTCAGACAGGACCTGAGAAAGGTTAACAAGGTAGAAGAGGGTGGACCTGTGAGAAAAAGTGATAAGGTCGTGCCAGGTGGGATGAATGGAGTCATCAGAAACATGGGAGCAGGAATGTTCAATGTCTGTCTTAGAAGAATGAGCAGGCCAGTTTGGCTGGAAAGAATTGTATTTTTTTTTTATTTTTATTTTTTAAAGATTTTATTTTATTCATTTGACAGAGAGAGACATAGCGAGAGAGGGAACACAAGCAGGGGGAGTAGGAGAGGGAGAAGCAGGCTTCCCCGCGGAGCTGGGAGCCCGATGTGGGGCTCGATGTGGGGCTCGATCCCAGGGTCCTGGGATCACGACCTGAGCCGAAGGCAGACGCTTAACGACTGAGCCACCCAGGCGCCCTGGAAAGAATTGTATTATTATTTAATGAGTCTTTAATCCCAAATTGTGTCTAGCAGCTTAGTTGTTATTTTAGCAAATGTGGTAGCTATTATTGCTATATTTAGCCAGCCTGTGGTACATCAGACTATCCAACTGTTTACAATTACTTTTATTAACCCTAGGGAAATTATTGATGTGTCTCAGAATCTAACACTGACACAGTGGAACAATCGGCAAATATTTATTGAATCCATATAATATGCGGTCTTTATGAGGCAAAAGCTAGATTGGAAAGGTTCTAGCCCTAAGGAAGCAGACTAGTTGCTGTTATAAAATCCCCTCCAAGGAAAAAACAAAATAAAATACAAGATTATACAGCCAATTTAGCACTTTAAAAAATAAACCTCCAAACAACCTATACTTACAAAAATGACCTTACTCATACTTATGATGAGAATGAATCACTGACGAATCTAACCCTCTAGCTCAGATCCAGGTCTCTTCTTATCCCCATAAGCTCCAAGACAGTATTTCCTTTCTTTTTCACTCTACTAATCTCTTCATGGTGTCCCATAGCATGCCAAACTTTAAGTTCCGAAAGAACACATCATCTTCTCTCCCCAACACACCATCTCTCTCCAAACAAAATATAACAGTAGTAGAAACCACTTTCATTGTCGCTACTGTCACAAAAAACCAGCCACCAAAAAAACTCCAAAGCAAGCAAAACCAAGCCCGTCCTTTCTCTGGTAATTCTCACGTTGATGAAGGGCACTACTTCCAACAACCCAGTCACCAGGTCAGAAACTTTGGGCCCTGAAAGAAGGGCATGTTGAGATGGGGGAAGATGGCATATGTGAAGGGGGTAGGATTGAGGCTGTTGGGAGGCCAAGGGATGTGACTGTCTTGATTGCTGTATCTCTACAGTACCTGGCACTTAGTTAATTGTCCAATAAATAGTTGTTAAATTAAGTAGAAATTTGCCTAAGAGTGGACATTATTGTTTTATCAAAAGGGAGAAATAAATTAATATTCATCTTTTGCTTTATCTAGATAGCATAAAGTTTGACCTACAGATTCATGAATTGTTACTATTGGTACTTTTGCTCAGTTTCCTCAGGCGCTGAATAGAATTCTGAGAGCTACCTTCAAAGTCTAACCAGTATTTACAGTCTGACTTCTGAGGTAAATTGAACTCAGTGTTTTAAGCAGCTATGTTACAAAAATACTTTTGGAACACACTTGTTTGAAAATCGAGGATTCACTGTTCTGTATGATAAACGCTAAGTGAACATTTCAGGTGCTAGACACTAACAGTGTACTAAGGAGGGCAGAATTGCTTCCAGGGGTGTAAGTGGAAGAACTTTTCAAGATGGAACATTTATACAGAACCTTTAAGAGTGGGCAGCAGTTGGGAAGGCAGAGAAAAGGAAGACGGGCCTTCTAGATGAGAGAAAAATTATGAACAAAAGCAAGAATTAAAAGGCGTAAAGAGGGATAGTGAGTAAATGTCTAAGTTGCATAGAGAAGTATCAGAGATGTGTAGAAAGAATGTTACTGCAAGAGCAGTATTTTTAGGAAGATTAATTGGTGGTTATCTATGGCATGATTTGGAGCTGAGAGAGATTGGAAATGTGAAAATTAATTAAGAGTCTATTTCATAGATCCTGGCATGAGATAATGGTCTAGCCCAGAGTGGTAGTGGATATACCAAGAACATGGAAAAAGATAACAGGAAATGAATGATATTTTGTTACTTCACAGAGCAGAAATTATTTTCTAGGATTTCTGATTTATAACAAATATATAAACTTCAGGGAGATAGTCTCTCAAATACATCATTGCAAGGCCTTGTGTTATTTTTCTTGAAGGTAGTTTTTGTTTATTAAAAAATCATATTAATGATATATAATTATACTGATACAGTAACCAGTTGAAATTTTCATTATAAAAAAGGCATACTCACACTTCTATTTCCAGCAAAACTGTGGATTAGACAACCTGAAAAAGTCTCTCATTATAAACACTTGGAAATCAGGGTAAAATAAAGCATCCCCACACACCAAAAGTGAAGACTGAATTGAGAATCAAAACAGTGTGGCAAAAGATGAGGTTATGACTGCCCTGGAGAGTTTACTGGTCTTGTTAACCCAGGAACTGGGGTTTATTATCCCATGCAAGAACATGAGAGGCTTTGGGCCAGTGTCAAGTTGGACACCCCCACAATGCTAAAGCCCCCAAGAACTGTACCCTCAGAGAAAGGGCAAGCTAGCAAAAATCTGTCTACCAACACAAGGAGGCAACCAGGAATTTTTCACCTGTATTCTAGGTGGGCTGAAATCATATCCACTTTAAATTTGTAGCCACAAGTCCTCATATGGATTTGTTGTTTGAATTTACACTATCTGTAGGGGCCCAGGAACTCTCCCACGCTGAGAAATCAACCAAAAAAAAAAAAAAAAAAAGAGGTCTAGGCTAGGCTGGTATTACTCCTGGAGTGCTTGGTGAAATGCAAATGAAAAACCTTTCTGGAGGGGTATGCCTTTAATCATAGCGGCACATAATTCCCACAGAGGAAGCCTCACAGACTAAAATTATAGAATACACAGGAAATAATCTACTATGAGTGAAGGTCAGCAAATACATCATATGGCATGATTAGACCCCAAGAACTTCAATTAATGGAAGCATTGGGTTAGATATTACAAAATATCTGATTTATACAACTGTAGACTCTAAAGAAGAAATTAAGAACGTAAGAAAAGAACAAGTTATTAAAATTTTTTTTTTTTTAAAGATTTTATTTATTTATTTGACAGAGAGAGACACAGCGAGAGAGGGAACACAAGCAGGGGGAGTGGGAGAAGGAGAAGCAGGCTCCCTGCAGAGCAGGGAGCCCGATGTGGGACTCGATCCCAGGACCCTGGGATCATGACCTGAGCTGAAGGCAGTCGCTCAACCGACTGAGCCACCCAGGCGCCCCAAGTTATTAAAATTTCTTAAAAAGTATTTTGGGGCCTCATTCCGGGCAGATTGTTGGGAAAGGGGACCTATTTGGGCATAAGCGCGGCTAAGACTGATGGTTGGGAGTTGTCAGCATTCCAAATCATGATGTCCAGGGAACTGTTATGAGCTTTCATCCTATTCAATTAGTGCCTATGCTAAAAACATCAGATATTTGGGTTGAGGCCTCGTGGCAGGGATCTCCATGAGGTGGTGATAATTTAAGTCAAATGGTGAAAGAATAGTGGCTGTGAGATTTCTGTCCGGTTGGAGGCAAGGCCCCAGCAGTCCGGTAGAGTGTAGGGTTGGTGATGGTGTTGGGGAGGTGTCAAGGTTAGCTACTGACAAGGACTAGGGTGACTGTCAAGACCCCAGTCAAAAGGGTTTAGGACAGATATATATCTAGGAGAAAAATGGGTTACCAAATAAACTGGGGAAGAAGTCCTGTAATGCAGATTAGGTATGCACAGGGAAGATGGGGACAGGGAAGATGAAGGTCAGGTAGGTACGGGTGCCCTGGATACCACAGTTAGATTAACAAGACTCATTCCAGACCCTACGAACTGATGGGAATGGGGTTTCCAATATGCTACCAGGCTTGGTTCAGACTTGTTCACAACTGGAACAAATTTAGGACCTGAAGTTGGGTGAAATTCTACGAGGCAAGCATCGATCCAGTGGACTGTATTTATATATCCACTTACCTCTAGACTGTGCAATGCCTCTAAGCCTTAAAAAAATTAAGAATCTTGCATTAGTATTGGATAATCAAGCAATTGTCATGCCTTTTAATTTACTACTAAATATCATGCAAAAGATTTCTTTTTGCACATGACTTCTATTTAAATGAATGCTCCATCTCAATGAACAGATTTATGATAAATCCATCCAACTCTCTGCTGTCTTCCAGGGTCACTATAATTTCTTTTAACGTGTTTATTTAGAGAAGCACTTTCTCCTATGCTGACAAAGTATTTCTTGAGGAGTGACTTCATTTAAAGTTTTCAATTTAAAAAATTTCATTTAGAATGTTGGACTATTTAGGTTGTTTTCTATTTGAGAGATAGAATCCCAGTCAGCCCTGTCCCCACCCTGCCTGCCAGGTTTTTGCCCCCCTACAGCTTAGTCTGGAAGGACTCTGGCAGGAGCTGCTCACTTCTGGAAAGAGCCTGCAGCTTCTGGATTCCCAGGGTTGGGGATTTGCTTCTGAGAACCAGAGAGTCTTTCTGGCTCTCCTGGGTCAGACCTCTTGGGAACTGTGCTGCCAGATTGCTTGTGAGTTTCCAGAAACTCCTGGGCCTTTTGACTCAAATGGCTCCTTGCTTCTCCCTTGCTCTCAATATAGCCCCGCTCGGCCTCAGTGCACCCTCCTGTCATCTCCAGCTCTGGGTGCCTGCTTGAGAGTGGCTTCCAGAGTGTTGCTCGGCTGTGGCTGTGGTTGACGACACTAACACTACTTGGTGGCAATCTTCCAGAGTTAGAAAGGTCTGTTTCCTGTAAAATAGAAATAAAATTCCTAGATTCTGTGTTTGACTTTGAGGGCAGAGAGGAGGCTAAGGAAAATTGGTTTACCGTGTGCTCTAACATTTCCAAAGTATGTTCCAAGACGCATCTCGTCTTGAGAAATTCTTTTGGAAAAAAAAGATCGGTTAAGGAAACTCTAGGTTAGTTGGAAAACAGAAATGTAGAAATCTGCATACCATTCTCTATTATGGAAACTCAGATTTCCCAGGAGCATGTTGATAGTTCTAACAAGTCCCATAGTAAAGAAACCTATTTAATTTGGATTAATCAGCGCTTTCCAAACTTTTTGATCTCCATAACATTTTTTGAAGGAACTAGAATGCTGGGGACCAAGCTTTGGAAAACATTAATTACCTGCGTCTAATGGCATTTGCTCAGGTTTCATTGTCTTTGTAGCTTCTGCCACAGAGGCCCACTTTTACTCTCTGGATCTTTCTTCCTTGTTGGCCTTTGTGACTTCCCTTATTCTGGTGTTCCTCCTACCTCCTCTCCGTGTCCTAAACCTGAGTGTTCTCCAACATTCAGGCCTCAGCTTGAAGTTTTTTATTTTATTTTTATTTTTTTAGTAACTCTCTTCCCTTAGGATCACATTCTACCTTCTGGTTTCAATCATCACCCATATATAGATTTAAAAAAATCAATCCCTAATATCTCTCCTAGCTCTTGTCCGGCATTTCAAAATGCCTCCAGAACATTTTCACTTGTATATTCTGCTGTTACCTCAAATTCAACATGTCTGCACTTGTCTTCCCACAATATGTACCCTTTTCAGTGCATATACACAAATAATAACCAGTTACAGTTCATAAAGGTAGAGAAAGCCCCATGTTAGTAGCAATAAAAAAGATTAAATACCCAGAAATATACGTAATGAGAAATGTGTAAAACCTAGACATGACAAATTTAAAACACTCCTGAAAGCCAAAAATGTAAACTTGAACAAATGAAAAGACATCATCTATTCTTGTATAGGATGAGTCAACATTATAAAGATGTCTTTAAGTCAATTTATAGATTTAATGCAATTCCAAAATAAATATCAACAAGGTTTTTTTTAATGGAGCTATATAAGTTGATACTGAAGTTCTTGTGGAAAAATAAACAGGCAAGAATATCCAGGAGAACATTAAAAAATTATGAGAAAAGAAAGACACCAAAGAAGATAAACTACCTCATTTAAAAGGAAGGAGATTTTAAGAAAATAAACATGTATCTGCTTTTTTGTACAAAAGAAATGCAGAAAGGGTAAACCAGAAATGAGATTGGTTACCTCCAGGGAGTGAGTGGGAATGCGTAGAAATAATGTGTAGTAAGAATGAGGAACAGTGACACTTATCTGCATATGCCTTTTTATATGGCTTTGACTCAGAACCATGGTAATGTTTCACATGCTCTCCCTGCTCCCTGCAAAATAAAGAAGTAAAATCATCCAGGACTTGGGGAGAACCTTAAATGGAACATGAAAAGTAATAAATGAACTTAAGTGTATTAAATGAATAACATAATTGCCCTGAAGCAGGTGC